CATCAGCATTATCATCATCATCATCCTCACTATCATTAATTCCACCCTCATCATTATCAGCTCTATTATTGTCTTCTTCATCTTTCAGTTATTACCTTTCTTTTAAGTAATTCAAAAGAACCATCAGAAGCATTTCCTTCAGTAAATAAATTTACAGCTTCAATCTGTCAAATAGTAAACACGGAAACATTAGGTGAATTACAAGTGAATAACAGTACATGTAGCTGCTTGTTTTGATTTCTCTTTAACACAATATATCAAATAGAGCACTGGAAAAGGTCAAGTGTGCACTATATATCACAGCCCACTGAGAGCAGTTGAACTTCAAATTAAGACATTACAAATGTCAGATACTTTAAACCTTTTGCTTAATTGAAATGATTATCATCATGTAAGGTTCAAGAAACCCTGAGGGCTGGAGACTGAGTCTACAGTGCAAAATTTCATGAAAATATTCAAGGAGTTTTCAAGGAATATTCAAGGACCAAAATGACGATTTTGAAGGAGTTAATTACAGCACACACTCAAGAATTCAACATCCCATACAAAATATTTGAACAGAGTACATGTGAATGTTCAAAAACTCAGGATGCCAGTGAATGTTTTCGTCCAGTTATTGTGGTTTTACTGTCTGGCACAATGTTTTCATGCTTCAATACAATTCATGTTAGTGTCACGTTAGTGTAGTAGATAATTTATTAAATAATGTACCTGTTGATCACTAATAGCCTTAGTCAATGCTTCCACTGTACAGGTGGTTGACCTCGGTACAATTTTTTCTAGTTTCCAAATCCAGTTAAGAGCATCTTCCATGCTGTCCAGAGTAACACAAACAGCATGGTCCTGCCAGATATGTATGTCAGCAGCACATCTTATAAGGTTTATTTTAGCTATAAACATGACTTGCTCCTTGAGGACTTGTATCAGTGCATGTCGATAGATGTCAAACTGGGTGTCTGATGCAACATCTACATCAAGGACTATGGTAATGCTGCGCTCCTCAATTACACCAAATACTCTACGACTGATTCAAAAAATAGAAAATTAAGTACTACAGTACATGTTACATCAGGTAACACCCTGCTGAAATACAAACCTTTCTGTAGTGAGCCACTCTAGTCTTCTCTTGTATAGATTGATCAGCTGCTTCAATTGCTTCTCTATTGACTGTAATTTCTCTTTGCTTGCAATAACCTGACAGTACAAAAAAGGACATTTTCATAAAGTCATGAACTAAAGAACCAGTTTTTTACAAGGGTACCATAATTTGAAGACATAATTATATGTAAATATTTAATTATCATTATTAATAATAAGGTGACTGTATGAGATGTATGTACTATGAAACTCACGTTATATACAGAGCCATCTCTATAAGGCACTTGTGTGAAGAGACCTTTGCAATATCTGGCACGAACTGGCTTTTGCAGTGGTTGTACATAGTCTTAAGAGAAGACAAGAAACATCATCAATACATATAAGCAGTAGACTGGGATTAATACTACATCTATTAGTCTCTCGTCACGTTCAACTTATTACATATCAGCAGTAGACTGGGATTTTAAAACACATATTATTATTTTCCAGTCAGGTATCCTAAAAAATTGTGCTTTCTGATTGCCTATTTGAGCAGGCAGTATTTTGTCAGTATCTGCCCACGCACGCAGTCCGGTATCCTTTGCCGCTTAACAACAAAACAAAACAATTACAAAAACAAGAAGAAAAAAAATACGGGGGAAAAAAGTTATTTATTTTCCTATAGTCGGTCTGGATAGGGACGGCCTTGGTCCATATATTCAAGATTTTGGGCACAGTTTTTCCCTATCYGGACCTCCTGGCCAGTAAATAACTTATATATCTTTTAATCCCTCATCATGTTCAACTTGACAAGTTGTCACATTAGTACTAATTATGTATTCATTAGTCCTAGGTGAGTTCTTACCATCAGAATGTCTAAATCCAATGGAAGGTAGTATCTGTGTCATATCTAGCTTGCGTTTTTTTAATCCATGAACCTATCAATGTATTGCATAAAATAAGGTCAGAGTTCAATGTCACTGAGGAGTGTGCATTAAATATCATGCACTGTGGTTCAACAAAATATCTAAAATACAATAAAATTCATTTTATGCAAAAGGCATTTTGCAATAACAGGTCACATGACCCCACCCCCTTAATGAAATGAACAGTTGAATATAAAAAATGATTATCTCATTATAAGGAATTGAATGGAAAACATGCTCTGGTGGGCAAGCTATTTTGAGCTAAACCTTTGCCCTCTTACTAATATCGAGGTGCTCTTTTCTGTGTTTTATATAATTAGACATCATAGATGAGCAAGGATGCATGGTATAGGCAGACTCAGAGAAATTTGGCTTTTTATGCAGTTCAGTTCCTTAGATGATGAGCATATAATTTATAATTTCCAGATACCTTTAGCCACTGATTTGTGGACATCATCATTCTAACGTCAAGCTCCCATTGGCTTGTATTAGGAGAGTTCAGGCGCTGACTCTTGCTTGGGATATTGCTTGAACTTAACTCTTTGCTATCTTTAGTATAACCATTCATTTTGTTGCTTTGGATGTTGCTATTGGATACTAGACCTGTAAAACAACATCAAGTCAATGAAGCTGATTTTATGAAAGCCATATTACTACATGATCAATAAAGAACATGTCATTTTTTGAGAGAAGTGTTAGATCTAGAAAAGCAGTCATCATTTTTATATTAGCTTTGAAACATGCATATAGACTAAGACATATTTTAAAAATATAACCAATATTTCCAGTATGAGTGATCTACAATCATAACTGTTGCAATTAGAATTAGCCCTGTTTCTAAATATTTCTTTCTTTACAACTACATAAGCAAATTAAAACAAACACATGCATACTTGCACTGATGTGTGCAGTTATAAAGATTGCACAGATTGGCAGAAAATGAGAAAAGTGTGTGGCCAACTGTGCCTCTCAAAATTCCTCAAGTGTTCTGCCAATCCCCAGCTAAGTTCCCCATATAACTCCATGTAGCCAAAATAGCCATAATCTTGATGAAATCCCATACATGCTGTGTGCTTTGATAAACCACATGCCCCAAAACAAACAGAAAGCAAAATTTATAACATATTATTGATCACCAAAACAGCTTTCAATTCAGTATTATATTAAATTTAGAAATTTTGCTTTTATTATGATAACATCTTAGGCAATATATTCAATACCAGGAAACTCTGAGCTCAGTATTAAACACCCACTCTTTGCATTAAATGCTCCAAATAATGGCACAAATTAAACCTTTATCGCCTAACACGCAATGATTAGAGGCAGAGATTTATTATCGGAACACTAATCCTGAGACTTACAAATGCAAAAATAAAACCTTGATCGCCTAACATGCAATGATTGGTAGACGGATACAGTAGACAGACAGTTTTATTTAAAATTACTAAACAGTTTACTGTAAATCTACTCGATAAAACAAATATTCATTGACTATCAACACATGAATCAAAGGATTGCAGTTAGCGCTCACCAAGCATCCACTATTTGTGTTTAGGACAAATTGACTTCCAGATCAACAGTTTACATCTTCAAATAACTGTCTTGTGCAACAAAGATCATTATTCTAGTAAACACAGGCTACAATAGATTCTTTTAAGTCTTAATTAGTTCAGCTTATCTAAGTAATAACAAGAAAGGACTCCAGTGTCACTCTTACGAGTAAACTCACCTGATCCTCATCAATACCACCAGTATTCCTGAAATTTTTGTGCATGGTAAGAGCCAAAAAGAAATCCTATTAATAAATGCTCCATTAATGTGACAATTCAGTAGCTTGGTTTAGATATAAAGTAAGAGTTAAGTCAAAAGTTTTGATCGACCAAGACTTTTCTCTACTGTTTTTGTATTTCGCCCGGTTGCTAGCGAAGCTTTAGGACTCAGCCAATCAGTTACCGAGTTGACGTCACATGTTCCATAATGAACACAGGTAGCCCAAACACAGAAAAGCCAGTTCATACTTTAAGAATCGTTTTCGGTTAGTGCGCATGCAATTTTATCCCGATTCCTCATCTTCTTTTGTTTAAACCTTCTTTTGTCGTTAATTAAACAAAAGRAAGTGAGAAATTCGGGATAAAATCGCATGCGCACTGGAAGCGATTCTTAAATTATGAACTGGCTATAAAAACCGTTCGGTGCTGCAAAAACTAAAATTATGCCAAATCTTGGTTTTGCTGAGTAAAAAGTTACCATAGCGGTCGAATTCGTTATATTTTGTCATGTGAAAGATGACCTGATAAACTTAGATCGTAGAAAGTCAAAAAGGAGGAAAACTAGTCAAACAATGTTAAAAATTCAAAATCGCTAAAAACCAAGAAATCAAAATAACCGTTATCATGATATTTTTTCTTTGCGTCGTGCACAGTCATATCATGGGTATCCATCAACCCTTTGCATGAATCCCCAAGTAGATAAGAGACATATTAGACTAACATTTGAGGGTTCTGAATAGTGTCACCGGCCTAATCCCATTTCCCAGCAGCCCATTTTGACCAAACCCCATAGTCCCAGCCTTTGTTTGCTCAAAACTCCATTTTCCCAGCCCAAAGGTGAGTCACAGCTCCCATTTTAGGCTGCGTTCATAATGTATGGCAGAGGGTGGTGGGGATTGGGGGGCAGGTGAAAATTTGAAATGTCCAGAATAATTCTTAACACCCCCTTAATGTCATGCAAAAAAATACAATCCACCCGAAGCAAGGCTTGTAGCTTCTTCCAACAATTGTGCATCCCCCCATTTTTCTGATAAAAATTTGCCCATCCCCCCTCTTTCCTACCAAAATTTTCCCGATCCCCCCTCAATTTTGGGCTCGTAAAATTAAAAGATCGCCGTACGGCTTCCCAACATTGATTGAGCGCGAAGCCAGAATCAGTTTTTCGTAAATACCTCTACAAAATCTTCATTTTGACCAATTTTTAAGAGATTGCAATTTTTTAAATCTGCACGCTATGTAGCCGATATTTACAGACAACCATTCTTTTAAAATATGTTACTGATTTCAAGCCTGCATTTGATGCAATTCATGCAGAGCAGATTTTAGAAAAGACTATGTCAGCTTGTCCAAAGTTTCAAAATCCACCAATCTCAGCCATGCTTTAAGTGACACGTGATCAGATGGATAGTGTTCACTAGGTATAGCGCCCGGTGGGTCTATGGTGGATTTTTCAGGAACATCCTGAACTGCTACAGCTTTAATGGCCTTTGGTTGAAACCAAATGTAGTCTAGGGTCATCCCTTGTCTTACAAGGTGTGGTACACATGTATACGAAGGCTCTACACCCTGAAATWAAAAGTATACTTTATTTCTTCTGTTCATAGGTCGTAGATTTCGCTCCTTCGTGCTTGGGGAGTGAAAAGCAATTCTACAGAGAGCGAACTGGGACCGACTTTCGGAATCGGTCTGTATATTTAACTTTAATCTACCAAAATGTACTTGGATCAATATATTCACGTAAAGTTCTTAATTCAAAGACATCAAACATATTCTCGTTGTTTGAAGCTTTAAGCTTTCTTAGTTTTTCAGGTAACAAACTGGTCGCGATGGTATGGGTGAAAGTTGCCATGCTGCATTAAAAGAAGCACAAAGAAGCACAAAGAAGCACAAAGAAGCACAAAGAAACGGGTGTTGATTGGAGAACAGCCTTCAGGCTCCTTTCTCAGTCTGCTTTCGACATTACATTTTTTTACCATAAATAATGAAAAACCCAAAATTTGATTATGGTTTTCTCATCGCTTCACAGGAGCCTATATATGACAAGTTGCAAGGTTTGTAGTCTAAAAAGCTTCCACTTCTAAACTATGGAAATTAAATTCCTATATACTATTTCTAAAACTTTGTATTACAATTTAAAAAGTGACGTTGTATAAGCTTACTTGTACTTGTTTGTAGGCACTCTGAAGTGGTGTTAAGGAGCCAAGAAAATTTTTACGAAGCACGTCTAGTAAATGGTATTCACTTTGAGGGAGCTTAAAACAAAAAAATTGAATTACTTAAACGTATAAGTCGACCACCGGTCTCTCTCGTTCTCTCCCCCCCCCCCCCCCCCTTCTTTTCCTGAGGAGAAAGGTGTTTTTCTGCAGGTTTAGGTTTAGAGGTGGAGCAAATGCTGCCTTTTGCACCATGCGTACTAACCTTATCGGGTAACGTCGTACCAGGGTATTGATTGACATAATCATAAGACGCTAAGTTATYTATATCTTTTGTGTCAAGTGTGCCCGTTGATAGAAGCTTGTAAAAGGGATAATGAGGCTCGACATTCAAGTCTCCGCAAAGAATATAAGGAACGTGTAAGCCATTAGTCGCTTGGAGTGAAACAGAAAATCTTTCAAGTGCCTGCACAGCAACAGCTATCTGTAAGGTAATGTGGACAGGATAGCGCCATTCTTGCCACTGAGTATGCACGTTTCCTAAGACAAAAGAAATTAATATGTATAAACTAGGACCAATACAAGTCTACCCGGCTATAAAAAGCCTACCAGCGCTGAACAATACTGGGCGAAACAAATCAAGCCAGTTTGCATCTGAATGAGTCAGATTCAGTGGCCAAGATTTTGCCACAACCGATATCTTTATAAATATTCTCATCTCGATATCTTTATAAACGCCTGAATAAATTTGTCTGCAAATGTCATTAGAATGAAGGGGAAAGATACTTCGTACATTTTCCACTAAATTGGTAGACAAAGCTTCTAAAACATTTGCGCATTTATATGATACAGTGTTGAAGAGTTAAGTTGTTGCATGAGGTGTTATGGTGAGAAAAACATACAGTGCGGACAGATCAAACTTATAGTATGTAGTACCCATTCAATGAACTTGAATTTGGAATCCATTAAAGTTTCACGTTACATCTTGTTATGTATACGACTCCATTCATACAAAAACTGTACATCCACCGATGGGGAATTCAATTCAAAATAGGCTATAGTTAACGTTTCCACTTACATACCTATCACAATGCTGTAGTCTTCATTCAACGAGTTGATACGCGCCATTGCCAACACATGCCCAGTCCTGTAAACCCCATTTAGCTCCTCCTTGACTTCATCATTAAGAAGATCTTCGATAASTTGACTCAGTTCTATCGTCTGAGACGACACGATTTTGAATCGATTAGACCTTGAAAAGATTGCCACACCCTCATGGGTTTGCTGTGTTTTCTCTGAGAAGAATCCGCTGTACCCCATGGACGATAGTGCGTTTTGGAGAGTGTTGTAGTAGCTAGAGTCTATCTCTTGAAGGCACAGAATATCGSCATCAAGCCACTTAAGCTTTTGGGTGTAAAAAACATGAAATAAATCATAAACGAAATAAAAGAAAGGAAAGGAGAGCAGTTTATCTAGCTAAGTAAAAAGTTCCTTGGCGGGCCGACAGGGTTAGGGTGCCACTCGTCCTACTATTGACAAGCTATATCTAAGGCACGCAGCTCAGTAGGTTCAGTGCGCAGTTTTCCGAACAAGAGCTCCACGTTTGGATTCTTAGCTTCTACTTCCCTCTGTTATGAGGAGCATTGAGTTTAAGACGATAAAGGGTGGACCGCCTTCGAACGCTTTAAAAAACACAAGACGGGGCAGGGAGTTGAATAATTACTGTCGATGTAAGGTTATGTTAAAATTAATCATGGTCATCAAGGCCCCTATTTTTTCCTTCTGATTTTGGCATTATGAGTTCATAGAAAGCAGAACCATAATTATTTAAAAACTTAGGTATAATTAATGAGCCTTTGAACCAAGAAGGCCTCGTCCACACGTATCCGGAAATCAATATCTTAGGTCAACAGAGCATGCACACTTAAGCATGACCATGAGCTCGCGYTAACTATCTCGCGCGGAAAAGACTGGATCAGACACTGTTACGTCAGCGTATTCAAAAATATAACGCCTGATTYACACCGTATTAAAAAATTTCCACTCTGGAGACCGTATTCAAAAAGTTGCGGATTCGTTCTACCGTATTCGACGGATACGTGTGGACGAACGGACAAACCGCAACAAAAAAGTTGCAAATTCAAAAATGTCCGGATACGTGTGGACGGGGCCTAAGCCTGTTCACAGCTTAAGAATCGTTTTCAGTGCGCATGCGATCTTATCCCGAATTCCTCATCTTTTGTTTAATTAAAAACAAAAGAAGGTTTAGACAAAAGGTGAAAATTTTGGATAAAATTGCACGCGCACTGAAAACGATTCTTAAACTATGAACTGGCTTATTGAAGAGACCAGAAGCGACCATACAGGTACTTTAAACCCCATATCACTGAGATAAAGGCTAGAAAAGGTGCATCCAGGTTTAGATGAAGACTTAGAGCCTCATCACGGTCAGTCTCACCATAGTTAATAGAGGGTCCCCCCTTTATTAACCATGGTCTCACGTACGATCACCGACGACCCACAAGGTATGGTCGTTTAGTGCCCTGTCTTGAGTTGGGTATGTTCTATGTTGTCTTCAACTTGTGGAAGCCTTTTTTGGCCTCACTGCGCATGGCAGTGACGTAAGTACAAACCTCACKGCGCATGACATTGATGTACAAACGTCTTTCAAAAAAGTCCATGTTAGTGACGTATATGGTCGGACTTATTCAACCAAAGGCTTACTAATTATACCTAAGTTGTTGAAGCAGTTCAATAAACTCGCAGATCGTGTAATATCGGGTCTAAAACCACGGTTTAAAAACATGATAAAACAGTCCTGCTCGTTTATTAAACAGTGCAAAAATGTTCAACCCCTGCCATGTCCTTCGTTAATTCACGTTACATCATCTGGTGGATTTTAACAAAAGACGTTTCATTTTATATGTCCTTTYGTACCTGTCCACCAGCATGGCTGCCATGTCTTTGTCTTTTGATCCTCTTGGGAATGGTTTAAAACCACCAATACATGCCCGCTTGAAGAACGTGTTAAATTGCCCGTCTCCCTATGCATTAACGCTGTTAAATGCAATCTACGGTCTCCGGCGCTCATCCATTCCCCGCGCTGTCCGGGRGAAATTCAACTGACTAGTGCATGAAGTTGTTGCGATTCCAAATTTCGGCGCCAAAGATGTATAGCCATCAGACTAAATCATCATATTGTAGCGCCAGGTACACAATATCAGTAATATATGACACGTACCGAAGTGCACTGATCGTATGTATATTATATGTGTGTGCGTGCCAGGAGGGAGGGGGCGTCTTTATTGTTTCCGGCTTGCATTTCAGGAAAGTGTTGTTCCAGCCATTTGCCTAGAGACGCCCCTTTCCTCCCTGTGCTTGCATTGCATGCACATATGGATTAAAARTGTACTGTGTACTGAACTCAGTTAGGCTAACCATACCTCTTCCAAGAGAAGTCTGTGTCTTTCTGACCTTCCGTCATTTTTCCTGAACAAAAATTCTTCTTTGCATTGAGGATTATCAGCAGCCCGGGTATGAATATCCGCTAATGTGTTGTAAGTGACGACAGAAATTTCGGAATAGAGTTTCGGAATAAGTGGTGCCACGCTTCTTCCACAACGAGGGAACATTCGCCGACATATCTTGGGCTCTTAGCAGCTTTTAGCTCCAGGTCAAGCTATTCCTGTAACCAAAACAAGCAGTTTAATAGTGCCGTTAGTCTAGACATTACTAACCCTCCCCAGTATTTGTCTTTTTTTTTTTCTTTCTCGCTAAATTTTTTTTCTTTTTTGATTTTTGCAGGAGTAGTCCTATTCACAGAACAGAGCCCCTGGCGATTATTGTAGATACACAAACGGCTCTAATTCAACGTGAGCTCACCATACACGTATAAACTACTGCGTTTAGTTCTGTCGGATAATTTATAAATATTCCTGGTAGAACTCTGGGTAAACTATTCTTCATTTGCACATGACGTCATAGACCAAGAAAGTAACAGTTTAAGGTGGCTCAAAGGAGGATGTTTCACTAGCATGCTTTGAGCGCCGTACTCATCATGCATCTGTCTTCTGCGTTTGTTTACAAAAATTTACTCTCGACGGTAATTTTCCTCAATTTTTTCGCCAAACAAAAACAACAGCCTGCGTCCTTACTGATGAACGATAGAAAGTCTGGACATTTCTCAGCAACATAAGTTTGAAATTTTTATTCAATGAAAAATCAAAATATGCCGGTATCATTATTATGATTCCGTGATTCTCCCCAGATGGGAATATATGTCACGTGATTACCAACCACGTGAAAAAGTTATTATACTTTTCGGTTAGGATAACTCTCTTTTAAATACCTTTCCACGTCTCGTAAGAATCCTCCAGCATTGAGAATCTTTCAAATTTCGTCTTGCACATTTAGGGAATCGATTAAGCTCAGTTTTTTGCCATAATCATTGACAGAACAACTGAGATCTTTTTAGCTAAGTTTGAATTTATCAGTTTGGCACAATT